CCACAGTTGCCAGTGGTAAATTCCTAGCTTGAATTTCAAACCACAGTTGCCACCGGTAAATTCCTAGCCTTAATTTTAAGCCACAGTTGCCAGTGGTAAATTCCTAGCTTGAATTTCAAGCCACAGTTGCCAGTGGTGAATTCCTAGCTTGAATTTCAAGCCACAGTTGCCAGTTGTGAATTCATAGCTTGAATTTCAAGCCACAGTTGCCAGTGATGAATTTCAAGCCACTCTTGCCTGTGGTGAATTCCTAGCTTGAATTTTAAGCCACTGTTGTCAGTGGTAATTCCTAGCTTGAATTTCAAGCCACAGTTGCCAGTTGTGAATTCATAGCTTGAATTTCAAGCCACAGTTGCCAGTGATGAATTTCAAGCCACTCTTGCCTGTGGTGAATTCATAGCTTGAATTTTAAGCCACTGTTGTCAGTGGTAAATTCCTAGCTTGAATTTCAAGCCACAGTTGCCAGTTGTGAATTCATAGCTTGAATTTCAAGCCACAGTTGCCAGTGATGAATTTCAAGCCACTCTTGCCTGTGGTGAATTCCTAGCTTGAATTTCAAGCCACAGTTGCCTGTTGTGAATTCCTAGCTTGAATTTCAAGCCACAGTTGCCAGTTGTGAATTCATAGCTTGAATTTCAAGCCACAGTTGCCAGTGATGAATTTCAAGCCACTCTTGCCTGTGGTGAATTCCTAGCTTGAATTTCAAGCCACAGTTGCCTGTGGTGAATTCCTAGCTTGAATTTCAAGCCACAGTTGCCAGTTGTGAATTCCTAGCTTGAATTTCAAGCCACAGTTGCCAGTGGTGAATTCCTAGCTTGAATTTCAAGCCACTCTTGCCAGTGATGAATTTCAAGCTTGAATTTCAAGCAACAGTTGCCAGTGGTGAATTCCTAGCTTGAATTTCAAGCCCAGGTTACCTGTGGTAAATTCCTAGCTTGAATTTCAAGCCACAGTTGCCTTTGGTAAATTCCTAGCTTGAATTTCAAGCCACAGTTGCCAGTGGTAAATTCCTGCTTTGAATTTCAAGCCACAGTTGCCAGTGGGAAATTCCTAGCTTGAATTTCAAGCCACAGTTGCCAGTGGTAAATTCCTAGCTTGAAGTTAAGGCCACATTTGCCAGTTGTGAATTCCTAGCTTGAATTTCAAGCCCAGGTTACCTGTGGTAAATTCCTAGCTTGAATTTCAAGCCACAGTTGCTGGTGTTGTATTCATGGCTTGATTTGCAAGCCACATATGTCAGTGTTCTGAACTTGACTTGAATTTCAAGCCACACTTGCCAGTGGTGAATTCCTAGCTTGAATTTCAAGCCAGAGTTGACAGTGGTAAATTCCCAGCTTGAATTTCAAGCCACAGTTGCCAGTGGTAAATTCTACTTTGAATTTCAAGCCACAGTTGCCAGTGGTAAATTCCTAGCTTGAATTTCAAGCCACAGTTGCCAGTGGTGAATTCCAAGCTTGAATTTCAAGCCACAGTTGCCAGTGGTAAATTCTAGCTTGAATTTAAAGCCACAGTTGCCTGTAGTAAATTCCCAGCTTGAATTTAAAGTCACAGTTGCCAGTGGTAAATTCCTAGCTTGAATTTTAAGCCACAGTTACCAGTGTTAGATTCCTAGCTTGAATTTCAAGCCACAGTTGCCAGTTGTGAATTCCTAGCTTGAATTTCAAGCCACAGTTGCCAGTGGTAAATTCCTAGCTTGAATTTCAAGCCATAGTTGCCAGTTGTAATTCCTAGCTTGAATTTCAAGCCACAGTTGCCAGTGGTAAATTCCTAGCTTGAATTTAAAGCCACAGTTGCCTGTAGTAAATTCCCAGCTTGAATTTAAAGTCACAGTTGCCAGTGGTAAATTCCTAGTTTGAATTTTAAGCCACAGTTACCAGTGTTAGATTCCTAGCTTGAATTTCAAGCCACAGTTGCCAGTTGTGAATTCCTAGCTTGAATTTCAAGCCACAGTTGCCAGTGGTAAATTCCCAGCTTGAATTTCAAGCCATAGTTGCCAGTGGTAAATTCCTAGCTTGAATTTCAAGCCACAGTTGCCAGTGGTAAATTCCTAGCTTGAATTTCAAGCCACAGTTGCCAGTTGTGAATTCCTAGCTTGAATTTCAAGCCACAGTTGCCAGTGGTAAATTCCTAGCTTGAATTTCAAGCCACAGTTGACAGTGGTAAATTCCAAACTTTAATTTCAAGCCACAGTTGGCAAATTCCTAGCTTGAAGTTCAAGCCACATTTTCCAGTGGTAAATTCCTAGCTTGAATTTCAAGCCAAAGTTTCCAGTGATAAATTCCTAGCTTGAATTTCAAGCCACGGTTGCCAGTGGTAAATTCCAAGCTTGAATTTCAAACCATCGCGGCCAGTGGTAGATTCCTAGCTTGAATTTCAAGCCAGTGTTCTGATCCTGAACATTTACAAAAGCGTTTTATTCTTGGCATAAATTTCAAGCCATAGTTGCCAGTTTTGTATTCATGGCTTGAATTTCATGACTTGATTTTCAAGCCACAGTTGCCAGTGGTAAACTCCTAGCTTGAATTTCAAGCCACATTTACAAAAGCGTTTTATTCTTGGCATGAATTTCAAGCCATAGTTGCCAGTGGTAGATTCCTAGCTTGAATTTCAAGCCACAGTTGCCGGTTTTGTATTCATAGCTTGAATTTCAAACCAGAATTGCCAGTGTTCTTTTTCTGTTGAGATATGATCACAGAAGAAAGAAACCCAAATTTACTTTCAGGACACTGTATCCAAATCTAAGAAAAAAGTTAAAATATAACACAAAGGAATGACTAAATGGAAAAGTCATTTTCGAATGGATTCAATTTATACTATTTTTAAGTTTGAATTAAATT